TTTTTTTTTTTTTGTATTATGACTTATAAAACTAATGATGTTTGTACCAATATGATTTTTTAAATAGTCATGATTTATCATTTCATTTTAAAGCATAATAATATTAATTACACTTAAAATTCCACTTACTAACTTTTTTTAACTTAGTAACATAATGGCAGATTTTGTGTGTGCGTGTTTGTGTATGTGGTGTAGATAGGGATGGGAATTGATAAGAATTTAGGAATTCCAATATTGATATCACTTCTTGAGGTTATTGTAATGTAAGTCTAAAAGGAACCTATAAGCAGAATAAATAGGCAAGCAATTCCAAGGAACTGAATTACTGGAAACCAGTTTGCTGCAAGAACCAGTCCTTCATCCCTAGTTGTGGAGATGAGGAACCAAGCGCACACTCGCAGCCAGGCAGCATTGAGCAACAAATGAGCTGTTGATTAGGTTTATTGTGATACAGCCAAAATGGCAAAAATGTTAAAATCCAGATAAAGTGACAACTAAAGGGGGAAGACAGACACACAAATTAAGTTAATACAGACCTTCCCAAAGTGTGGGGCCCACTCCCTAGGTGGGGTGCAGAGCCATGCCGGTGGGGGTGGGGGGGTGCAGTAAGAAAAGGAAAAAAATAAAAGGCTCGGACACTGCTAGCACGGGCGCCTACAGAAACGCAAAGCAGGAGATGAAGTGTCGCTGTTTCCAAACCAATTTCATTCTAAGCCAAAGACTAGAAAATATGGTGAAGCATGTCTGCCCTTTGGTTTCACCTGCACAAGTGCCGAGGTAGGTCTCCCCTGCAGAATTGGTTTTCCCTTTGTTGGGAGCAGCGCTGGGCTGTTCAAATCACGGACAAACAGTATCCCGCATTCTTGATTTTTAGTTTACAAACACTTGCTGTAATGACTAACTACTCCTGGCATTTTGGAGATGTTAGCTCTTTATACAGTAAAGTTACAGCGGGATTCAAATAATATCGGGCTGATCCTGCCATGATTTGTTCCACCGGTTCAAATCACGGACAAACAGTATCCCACAGCTGTTTATGTTTTTAAACCCATTTTGCACAGAGAGGCATTTTTTGAAAAATTTATTGATAGCAATGTT